ATTCATGACATTGGCCAACCTTTCACCACTGAAAATCTCACCAATTATTGTTAGGTCCTGTGTCCTATTACAATCCTTATTTCTGTTCGTAAGCCCATTTATGACCTCCCGTAGCTTCCTCTAGTCATTGTAAATGCTTTCAAATAATTTTTCATAGTAGTTCTGTTTAGCTTCCGTATTTCTGAATTTAAGACGTTTCTGTATTTCTTGTACTCAGCTAAGGCGTCTGTGTTCCGCGAACGGATGAAATCATGATACAATTTATTCTTTATTTTTATGCGCCGGTAAAGATCACGATTTATCCAAGGCTTTCTGCATTTCTTATTTCTGCCACGTGAGCGCTTCTGAAGTGGAAATGCCGCATCATAGCTAGTACTCAATAACGTCATGAATGTGTTATAAGCATCATCAGGATTTTCTTGTCTATAAACAGTGGTCCAATCTATGTTCTGAACTAGCTGAAAAAAATGTTCCCGAGTTTTGCTGTTTTTATTTCGGTGGAAAGATGTCTATGTTTTCTGACCAATTTGAGAAGTAACTCGTGCAAGAAAGAAGATGGGCATATGATCACTTATGTCATACGCAAATACCCCGGATTTTATATTCTGTGAACTTAAATTTGAGGCGCATATATCAAGGAGCGTAACACTTGTTGATGTAACCTTTGTAGGTGAACGTATAAAATTTGTACTTCCATATGTAAGTAAGAGCGTTTCAAAATCTTTGGCATAAGGATCATTGGAACAGAGGTCAATGTTTATGTCACCCATAACTATGGAAGCAGTATTCCCGCGAACAGTGGATAACACAACATTAAGAAACTCAATAAATTTCTTTTTGTGGCCATGTGGTGGCCTATATACGCCAATTACTATGGATGGGCCACCACACATTGTAATGCATTCAACATCATAGTTCATAACAGTATACTTATCAAGCAGTTCACTCGAAAGCGTATCCTTAAAATAAATAGCAAGACCTCCACCTTTTTGCTGGTTACGACAGAGAAGTTCATGACTACAGCCTGGAAAGAACGGCGCATCTTCTTTATAAGTAATCCATGTCTCGGAGAAACCTAGCACATCAAATCCGATAGCTATAGACCATATAAAATTAGCAATGTCGTCGAGCTTTCTTTTTATGCTTCTACAATTTATATGCATTGCTATTAACAAGCCTTTTCCGGATTGAAATGCCCTATTATGTCTTCAACACTGTAATACTTTTGATTATTTACAAGATCAGTCATAGTGGAATGTTTTTCAATTTGTTATGACATATGCCACATCTAGTTTCTAATTTTAGCCAAGCTTGTCTCATCGGCAATGTGTATCGCTCGCGATCCTTCATCTTTGCGTGCAAGGGTTTTGCCACCGGATGTCCAGACAAATTTTCATGCGGCTTCTTTCTTTTTTTGTATTGCCGCTGCAAGCAATGCCTTGCCCTTCTGCGTCAAATGCTCATTTACAAAAATGGGCGTTTTATTGTCATCCCCAAGCATAGAACTATCGAGCCTCTTCTTTCTAAATTTCGCCAGTATATCGTCACGCTTTGTTCTTTTTACAAAACGAACAATTATTTTGTTCACATCAGGCTTAGGAGTGGGAATCCAGTGGCATGCGTCAATATCAGACAGATCAACTGCTGTGCCGACTGCTTCGCTTATCTTTCTTACAACATCCACTGGATCATTCCCGACCGGCGCACCTTTTATCTCAAGATTGTTTAGGCGCTGATATTGTTCAAGCTCATCGCATTTTTGTGACAGTCTCTTATTTTCCGCTTTCAATTCCATGTTTTGTCTTATGAGCTCTTGCATTTCAGCTCTCATATTCTTAATATCAGTGGCTACATCTTTCACCTCACTGCAGGTGTCAGAGCAAAAAGCTATGCTGTCTTTAATTTCCCGAATCTCACTTCTGAAATCGCGTTTGAAATTTTCGAATGCCTTCGTCAGCTCTTTTAAATCCTTTACATCTGCTGCGTCCTTTTCCGCGACTTTCCCCGCACTTTTTGCGGAAGTTGCTGGCTGAATCGAGGATCGCCGAGTGGTGCCGAGTGACGCGCCAGACTCGGACATAGGCCGCGAGCTCATGAGCTGCAGGGTGCAACCGAGGGTACCTGGCGGTGCCCTGGCCAAGAAGAAGGAACGTGGGAAAAGAGAGCTCGAGGGTTGCGGCCACGAAGGCAGACGAAGCAGTGCGCCGCTCGAGAGGACGAGTTCCTGGGAGCGTTCCTGCGCCGGACGTGGGACCCGTACGTGTCGGCCAGGTCGAGCTCCGGTGTGTCGGTTCGAGGTCGAGTCCGTCGGCCTGTACAAGTAGGTGTTTCCGCCGCACCTGCCGCACCCGACGCTGGCCTTCATCGGGCTGCTGCAGCTGCTTGGGGGCGTGTTTCCCGCGCAGGAGGCGCAGAGCCATTGGTTCGCGCACCTCATCAACAAGAAAGTGTCACTTCCTTCTCTGTTGTGCAATATAAAGCTTCTTTTGTTCGCATCAATTGTTGATGTTAATCCTTTCTCGTCCGCTATCGACAAACATAGTGACGAACGTCCGTAACCATCACAATGTCATTTACTCAAGTCGTCCATTCGCGTCGCGTAATACCGAGATTGGTACAGGTGAAGCTAGCGAAACGGCCGCGAGCGTATCATGAGCGTAGCATGTAGTCATGTTGTTACATGACACGCATCTCATCTTCACTATGTTTGCACCAGTATCAGACTTTTGCCCTCCATTCGCGTCGCCTAATACCAAATTTGGCATTAGTGAAGCTAGTAAAACGGCTGCCAGTGAATCTTGAGCGGGGCATGTTGTCATGTTTTTACAAGACACGCATCTAATGATTATTATGTTTGCACCAGTTACACACCTCCGTCATTTATTCACGTACCGTAATACCCAATTTGGTATGGGTGACGCTAGTGAAACAGCCGCGAGCGCATCATGAGCGTAGCATGAGTCATGTTGTTACACAACACACATGTCATAATTTTCATGTGAGGGTCAGCAGCTTGTGTTCGCCATGCAAACATGTCATACCTTCCAGTTTCGCAACATGCCATGTGAACAAAACCACCGAAAGAACTGCAGGAGCATGAATTGTAAATCATGACATTTATGACATACTTGTCATGATTTTCTTGTTATGACTAGCCAAATATGTTCTCATACAGTCATATTATGCCATACCACGTTTGGTATCAATACCATTACTGAAACTTCCAGGAGAGGTAAAACTCGTAGGCAGCTAGATAGATAGATAGATAGATAGATAGATAGATAGATAGATAGATAGATAGATAGATAGATAGATAGATAGAAAGATAGAAAGATAGATAGATAGATAGATAGATAGATAGATAGATAGATAGATAGATAGATAGATAGATAGATAGATACGACCAAAGTCGCTGAAATTCGCTAAGAAATGCTTCGCATTTAATAATATAATAAATTCCACCCATCTATGTAAACAAAATGACGTGTGACTTAACATTCAATTTGTTTCTATTGCTGCCTTTAGCACACAGAATAATTTTTGGTAGAAATAATAGACAAGGAATGTCCTGGTTTAGAGACAGTTCTTCCTGCCATATGCGTCTGCGTGGTCAGCCACTTGTTCATTCCACAGGTCTATGCCTAAACGTGCCTTCTCTACAATTAAGACAACTAACAATTTAACTCTGTATTGAAATGGCCGACACAGCTCTTAGCGATGCTTGTCGTTGTACGGAGACGTGCAACTTTGCATCCGGTGTGACTGTCTCATTTATAACGCTCAGACTCACTGGCGTCCGTTAGCTTATATTTGCAATAGAAGAAAGTTCGTTGAAATTATACTTACACATATTGTCGCCAGAACACATCGCAGCTGAAGGTGACGAGGTTTTTAAGGAAAGCGGACCTTGAAAAGGGGCTGTGAATGCTACGTCACGTGCCAGGACAGAGTGATGGACTGACCAGCTGCGTGTGTGTGTTATGTGCTGCTTTTCTCTTTCTTTCTATGCTTTTATTTCCGTTTTTAATCTCCAACATCCTGTTGCAGTGTGTAGTCTACCAAACCGGTTTTCTTCGACTGGCTAACCCCCCTGCCTTTCCCTCTCTTCTATTTCTTCTCGTGTCTCAACAATTTAACAAGCTACGTGGGCATGTCATGCCGCAATTCTGGCACCAATTCGTTTTCTATGAAGTGCGTGGCACTCTAGGGGCTCAGCTTGTCTTCTTTCCAATGATTTCATGAACCGTGATCACGCTTTTAATAAAATGGGGAATAGAGGTCTAAAAAATACTAGAAACGCTGAAAATCCGGTAAACTAAGCGGGCAAGGTGTAACATTGTATATATACCATAACTTCCTAAGAAGCAATTGTAATTGTTAAGAAAAATTGCTAAAAAAACTTCATACACATGCGGTTAAATCTTGCTCCTGACAAGAAAGAAAACACAACTGCCTCGAAGAGCACGTGATCGTTCCTTTCATTGATGCTTTTCCGGCGCCTTCGTCCTTACAACTAGAGTGAACTCACTACAGACGTCATGAATTACCAATACAAGTAGGAAGTCGACGAAGTGTAGCGAAAAGTAGCACTCATGTCGCACACCTCGTTTGCAAATCTTCCTCATGTTTTCTCGTTCCGGGGAAATCCTACTATGACCTCATCGACAGTTCGCTAAGCAGAGCAGTGGGAACTCCAAAAACGGGAATCTCTTCATTAGGCTTCCTCACGCTGGAGCCACATTGAGCTGCAGGTTAAAAAACACCACTCGCTAAACAATTCTTTATACTTAAAGTATTCGATGCTAAAAAATCAAGCTCTAAGAGGAACTAAGTGTGAGATGATGGCACTTGCTATAATCGCCATGTTCTAATTTACTGCGTCGTGCGCACGCCCGATTAACAAAGTCTGCGATACAACTGTGAGTATATATTTGGCGTGCTTGATGTGCGCTGGCTGCTTTATTTGTGATGATGCATGCAGTATTATTATGTTGTCCTACCTGAACCAGCCACTAACTTGTAGTTGAAGACGTACTTCTTGAGCAGCTTGTTCATACCGCTGTAGTGTCCCCAGGAAGCGTGAGCTGCAATTGCTTCAGCGCTGTTCGTTGTCGTCTTGAAGAATGCGACGCCGGGGTCTCTGGGTCCTTTCTTGCCACGCATGCCGAACGCCCATTCCAGGTCACCCACATCCTTGTACAAGTTTAGAAGCCTAGGTGTACAATGCCAGAAATTGAGTGCTGCTGCTCCTGATGCAAGCCTAACACCGATACTTCACCTTTCTACAACACCTACTTGTACAAATCCTAATTAAGTACTAATGCAACACCTAATTGTGTACTTCTATATCAATGTATATATACTCAACAATGATAGCAAATACTTGAGTTCAGATATAGGAAGAAAAACTGAATGCACGATCTCGACAAGGCTTTCCTTGCTTGGCTACGCTGCTCGTGGCAAGGTGAGAGGAAAAATGATGCACCATGCAGAGAAGTTCCAATCAATTTCGAGATGTGCAGTGAAATAATTACTCTGAAGCATATTGACACATTACTTCCTCAAGTTTAGCTACCATCGCGTTATATTGTCAGTACTTAGACACTTTTAGTTGAGCGCACGTAACCAGCCTACCCACGTAGCAAGATACGTAGCGTACGCTGCAGGCGAAGCTCCGAACGACACTTCTATTTCACCGTATTGGCCATACAGAGATACAGAGATACGTTTGCTTCAACTAGACGTATGTTATTGGAAAGAAAACAGTTTTAGGTGCTTTTTAGCGTACTCATGCAGTAGCTGCCGTCATTCACCGAATACTATGCCAGCAACAGGTTCAGGTGCTCGTACACACAGCGTGCTGTAATTGGTTTTTGCAGGAATTCACTGACGCGCCAAGCAATCTCTTCCCATTGCTCCGAATGCCTAAACGGGTCGCTGGTTTGTGCTTCCGCTAGTAGCGCAACATCGCCCCTCAAGGGAAAATATACTCAAATTGGTCCGGCTTTGTTGCTTTCTGCATTCTACGCCATCGCTGCTACTTTGGTGTTTGGTTCCTATTTCAATCAATCAACCGATCAATCAATCAATCAAATAAATTTGTGTTCATTTCATAATATACAGAGAAATGGCAAATAAAAGCGGCCTTTCAGCAGCTTGACGAACCCGCCACCCCCATTACAATGTTTCGTGGCAGCACAGAGACAGATCTGTTTAAACACAATTGTTGAATAATATACATCATGTCAAGGCTAGATCACTTCGAAACACAAGAAGATAGAAGGGAATCAAGCGACAACAAAAATAGAGCGAATGAGCAACACTAAACAAGAGCAACAGCAAATAGGAGCAAATTTATCACTAATATTACCAATACCACATCAATCTTATATGAATATCAGTGACTTAGTCTTTCGAGCTTCCAAGCTTCAAGCGTAATTTGCTTGATGCACACTAAGATAGATAAAAATTAGTTGATCTATTTTAATCGAGATATCCAGGGAGTGTCACGCCACCTACGCTCTGTCTGATCCCGTTTACGCATGCCACGTTTTTTTTCGGGCGTACCCATGCATCAATGGAATAGACACGTTACGTACTGCGCATGCGCACTTCTCTCAGCGGCAGTGCTGCTTACGTGGGCTCGTTACCTATGCCCAACTAAAAGTGTCTATTCTCAGCTCTTGTAGTGTTCTACAAACTTCAGGACTGTAGTAGATCGTTTTCATAACATTACACCCACTTCGTGAACATAACAGATTATTCTGCAACCTACGTGACTGCTATTGATAGCACTAGCATATTCGACGGCACGTGAATAAATCCTGAGGCGCTTCACCGCTTGTCAGTTGATTGACGGCCGAAGCTCTGTTTGCCGTTATCAGTGCCAGTTGGTATCACTGTAAAACTTAGAAGGACAAAAGCTTGGGCGAGTTTGTATGACATTGAGAAAGAAAATTTGAAGCGCAAAAAACAAGGACTGAAGAGAAGAGTACACACGACGACCACTAGCTCAAAACTTTAAAAAAGTTGAAGGGCCACAAGTTTGGCCAAATAAACAGTTTTATTTTGAACATACGGTCTGCTCTCTTCGTCAACATCATGACCCCACTTCAATATGATTTGGCAATGTCCTGCAGCTTTCACAGATTGTGAGGAGGAAGGTGACTAGGTCAGAGATGAGCTCTTTCAGATAAAGCACAGCTCGTCCGGAAGACCTACGTTACGGTGGTAAGGTTGAACGTTCCTGTCCCAACGTGAGAGCACCTGCGGGAGTCTAAAAATGGATCGCCACAACATGAATAAAGCTTAGCACTCCACGCCAGACGATGAACAGCGTACCTCTCCCTCGACCTATTCATGTCTGTTGCGTGCCTACATGTAGGTTTAAAGCAGGAAAGGTGTACATGAATACATTACGACAGCGCAGTAAATAATACAACAAACAAGGTAAACACAGAATAGCGCATATCACATCTTCATCTTATTCTTTGTGTTCACTACTGCGCTGCTATAATACATCAGCATTAACCCAAACTAACTCGTTCACTTAGCCATTATACCACTAGGCGGAAGACATTTGTGGCCCATGTCACCGGGTTGCTCTCAAGAACCAAACCCTTGCACCTTTGCAGCCGTGGACGATGACAGATTCCGTCCAAAAGGAGTACAACACTCAAAAAAGTTTGTGAGTTGCCGGAAAGCAACCTAAAACAGGCCTCGTGCATGTAGCCAGTGCACTGCTTCTAGGGTTGCTATATTATTCAAAATATCAGTTAAGGTAAAAGTAACGCCAGCTGCAGTAACTGAACTGATTAAAAAAGAAAAATACCACACGATATTCCTTACGTCATCTTGCTGAAAAATGCTTGAACACAATCTCGTACCTTTCTTATCGAATTTATTGAACCTAACAAAGTGCTATCTGATCAAGAACGTAGCTTTTGTAAAAAATAAATAAACTTTTCGACAATCACACAGCTCTGTACTACTGTTCAATAAGTCTCGTCGAGAAAGCTTGAGGTGTTGTCGACCCGCCGATTCAAAGCATAGTGTGCGTATCACTCACACTGGCATAGCAAAAACACTCTCAACTAGAACCACCTCACAAGAATTTCCAAAAACTTGGCGGGAAGAGGGAGACCAAAGCTTGCGATGAGCGAATCCTTAAACAGGGGTTGTGTGCTCGAACCGAAGTTTCGACAAGCAGACTTGTCTTCTTGAAGGCTACAAACATAAGCGTGCGCACGAGGGGAACAAGGACGGCCATCCCCCCCCCCCCCCCCCAGTCACCTAAACGGGGGCGTGTAGTCGACCCTTCACATTGAATGATAAGGAAGGGGGCGTCATCACTCGGAAGGGGGTGGGGGGCGGGAGCACAAAGGTTGCCCCATGCATGGTCATAATAGGAAGGAGTCTCTAGATATGCGCAGGGTTGCCCTTCGCACGCCTATGGAGCTGATCTTGAACAGAAGCAGCTCGGACGTAGGTGATCTTGCATTTTTGTAGAACTGTACAAATGCTCATAACTTTTGACTTTGCGCTCATATTTGATATTTGAGTTAGTGAAGAAAGCGACGGCTCCTTAAATTTAGTATAATTTAAATATGTACGTGCACTGGAAGCTACTGATTCTACCGTACTTTTTGTTTCATAAGTAATTAGCATGTGATCACTGTTTCTTGCGCACTTAACTATGGACCAACCCGAAACATAAAGGCAGGCGCTTGCAACAGTAAGATCCACTGAAGAAGACGTGTTACCTCTCACGTACGTTGGGTTTCCTGAATTTAAACAGGTCAGATTGTTATCTTGGAACCAGTCTCACAAATGGTTGCCGCACGCATCAGTTTTTACACCCCATGTGACATGATGGTTGTAACAATCTCCTGCCAATAAAATAATTCTTGCACACGTGCCGATTAGGGTGTACAATGGCCTGGTGTAATGTACGCCTGGCAGAAAATAAACATTGACCATTGAAAATGTCTGACGAGAAGGTGGAGTTTTCTCTATAACTAGAATTTTTAATTCTGGAACAGCAGCTCTAACGTTATCTTAGCTTTATGGCAATGGCTTATAACAAAGTTATAATTTTACCACCTCTCGAAGAGTGGTCTAGCCTAAACAAACGGTCATTCTTGGCATAAAAGCTGTTGTGTGAATTAAGCCAAGTTTCTTGCAACAAAATCATATCAGGATATAGCTGAGTGCTAAGACAGTGTAAATTAGTAATTGTAGCATATATCGAACCACTCTTCCACTTTTAAACTCTTAAAGATGCAATTCGTGGAAGTAATCGTTGCAGCGACAACTTTTTCGAAACTTTCTCCTTCAAAAGTTTACTGGCCGGATTCTTTTTTGATTTCGCCTGTGGAGACGTAGTGTTTGGACGGTTAAGCGGGAACCGGCTGCGTTTCTGAGCACGGCCATAAATTTTCGCATCAGTAGATACGCTTTAGTCCAGCACAGGTGTCTGACCATTAGCCGATCAGCTTACATGGGAGCTATGTCCTGCTTTCGAAGGCATGCATCTTATCGCCTATCGGGTTTATCTAATTAACGGTAGGGTGTATATACGACACGAGAGGGCCGGTTGGTTGCGGGGTTATAAGCTATGCGATTTGATTGCTTACAACTTGAGCAATATATTTGGAGATGCTGTCAACTAGTTGATTCATCACCATTGCCATAGCTTTTCCTACAGCTACCTCGGCGGCTTGTGCAATGCTCGTCTCCACCAACGTTTGACGTGCTGTAACGCCAGAATAATCGTACTATCTTTTGTTGATAATTGCTATGGCCTGCCTCCTAGAGCGTTTTCTTTTATCCATGACCTCAAGAACTTGCATTTTTTTCGTCTATTTGGGCAGTCTCAGTAGTCAGCAGATTGGCGTCCACCACAAAAACGACACAGACCCTCCTGTGCCGTACTTCTCGATTTGCGTGGTCTACACCACTTTGCTGCATCACTCCTCGAATTTACAGCCACCGGCACTATGACAGAACCTCCAGCAGTTCCGGCATTGTAACACACAAGACGCCAATTGATCTACTTGAAACACCAGATGCCACACTTTCATCTCAGAAGAACATGAGGTGCCAGCAAAAGTCGCAATCATGGACTCTGTTGGGACTCCCTTGTTATCCACAACTAGATTGCGTCGATAAACGTCCGCCATACCTAGAGAGCTTCTCTAGAGTTTC